TAATAGCTAAATATATTTTCAACATAACAACATAATACATAAGAATTATCTTATTTTATAAATTATAAAATTATTAGTATAAATTCGTTTTAGTTATATAATAAATAACTAATTTTTATATCTTAATTCAAAATTTAATTTTTATATATAAAATATATTTCAAGATAACAACATAATTCACAAGAATTATCTTATTTCTAAAAATATGATATATTCATATAATTTCGTTTTATTTATCAATAAATTATATGTAAATAATAAAAATATGATAAATAAATAAATTACCTAAATTTATGGAGAAAATGACAACTAAGCAAATTTGCTTCTTAAATAATAGTATAGATATTGAGATCTCTTTATTTAAAAGATTCTTCGAATAACCAATTAATTTTACTTAATTTTTAATATTATATTCTCTAAATCCTCATATAAACATTTCCAGAATCCAGTAAAAAATTTCCACAATAAACATATGCGTGTTTGTTGATTATATAAAATGTGTAATCAAATTTGGGTAAAATGGTTAATGGACAAAGTATATTAAATTATATTTGGTCCTAATATCTTTAATAATAAAGTTGACTTTTTTCACTCCTTGGGGGGAAAAATGACACATGTCCTCTCTATATAATGGGCCATCAAAATTAAACTTATGTATTTGTTAATTGATCAGAGCCTTAAATTTTACTTTACAAGGCCAACCATTCTCTAGTCCGACTCTTAAACAAGTGTTCAAGTTGCCGTCTCAGACTTTTCGATTCTTCTCCGTCATCATCAATTTTCAGTACCTTAGTCTCCTCTTCCCCACTATCTACATCAATAGTTCTTCCATTCAATACATTTATGTCTGTACACTAGCTTCGGCTTCTCCTGCTTCTCTATTATATATATGACGCTCACCATTCCCACGACAACACTATTTACAAGTCAAAATCCAGACAACCACAAACAGGGAAGAATAAACAGAAACGTCTCTTGGTGCCCAAAGGAGTTGGAACTGATTCCATTTAAAGGTTCGACCTCAGTTGAATGAAACGTCCCATGCTTTGTCTCCACAATCTCATCTCAAAGACAAGGTCCGTGCGTTCCTAAACCCATATCGTTAGTTCTTAAGACTATTTCCCTTAACCATGTGTAACTATATAGAGATTGGCAGGTCAAATTTGATGGTGTTTATGGTAAATCAATAAACTTTGATCTATACATGGTTATGAAGTTCCAAGTTCTTATTCAAACTTTTTGGTTGCTGCTTCTGAAGTGATTTTGGAAAGAAGCAAGTATGTTTAATGAGTTTATATCGATTTTACAGTATAGGTAGTCAAATGAATTATTTTTTAAACGTGACAACCACCTCATCACTTTCCCACATCATCTCAGTGAAGGTTCTGTGTACTAGCTCATTGGTCTCGATGTCATTCGGACTCCCCTGTCTCCATTCGATTCGGTTAAGGATATTCTAAGTGAGCTTGAATTTAGTATCGAACATTGTATAAACAGACCATCAATCAATTGCTCTCTCAATTGTAAAGAAGGGAGTTTTGTTCAGCACTGGAGTGAGTTGTTATTTACTACATCTAATCTCTGCTGGTAGAGAAAAGATTCGCAAGATCAACAGTTTATTAGGATATGCGGCAATATAGCAAAATTATTAGAATATATCACAATGATGAGTTGAGGTGAAAACGAGAACTGAACCTCCACATATTCCACCACGAGTGACATGAAGAGTTTTCTAAACATTATGGGTTTAAGAAAGGGGAAGAAGATAATTGGAGGCTAAATAGATCAGCTTGAAGCAGAAATTTGAGCTTAGTTTGAGTTTCTTCAGATTGGTTAAAACAGGTGGGTAACTATTCCAAGCTCAAGGTAAAGTATGACTTTAAAGACCTTGCTATTCAAGCGGTTAAAGATTTGGATTCTTTGCCTCAACTCCAACGCATAGGCTCCCACATAACACCAACTCTTGATTGTATTCTCTAATGGAACTGTTTTTTTTTTTGTAAAACAGTTTATATGAGATTTCAGAGAAGATAGAGGATTTAGAAGGAACTAGGTTCAGCCATGTGCTCAGGACCATTGGAGGAACAACAAGGAGTGTGTCCTTATGTGCTGGAGACAGGGCTACACGGGATCATAGCGACAAAACAAAAATATAGATAAAAGAGGTGCATACTGCATTGGAAGATGCTAAGAAAAAGCTTCATGTGAGACAGGCTGAAGCTTCTTGGTGGAAACACACTGCATATATATCATCTCTGAACATATACTAAAACCGTCTAAAATCAACTCCAACTATTAAACTCGTCGTTCCCCCCACTCTCTAACTACGTAAAAATTCAGTGTTTCAAGTTTTATTAGAAAACAAAAGTGTATGTAGTCTTGTGAAGAAGCTGAATGTTAATTAATGGATTTGCCTTATATTTTTCGATTCATTATAATTTGCTATTTTAACAGAATGTCACATTTTTGGTAATGAAATATCATCAAAGGACTAACGTTTGTAAATGATTTACAGTTACTTTTTACATATAATCCACAAAAAAATATTAGTTAAGAACAAATAAAAATATCAAAAATACAGAATGGTAATTCATTTATGGTAACAAGAATTTGCAGCATGAGATCTCCGGGAAACTTTCAGATAAAGTGAAGATAAGCTCTTTATAAGTTGTCTTCTCCGCTACATGCTACGTGAATTAGTCTATTCAATGAGATCAAAGTTATTCTCTTCAGCTTGATCATAAGTACGTTTCTCATTCAACAAACTATACTCGGTTGGCCCTGCAATTTACAATATGAGTTTCTGTTTTCTTTCTATCACTGACATTGAATGTATAAACCGCAAATCAAAGCACAATATATACAAAAAAAAACCCAGAGGAATAGAGTGTAAGAGATTCTCAGTCATGTGTTAAGCTCTTCTATCAACAAGAGACTGTGAAGATCAAAATAATCAAACCAAGTAGTCAGTTTTGGATTGTTGGAAAGGTGAGTGACCACCAAATCTAGAGATGATGGCTTGATGCATATGATTCATCCAAGCCTATCTATTATTTTCTCTTTTTTACTGCTCCAAGTTCCACGATATACATGAGTTTAGTAACAAAAGTATTCATTCATGGACAAGGTTATACTATGCTACCTTATATTCAGGTTTATTGCGATGATTTAACTTATACTACGATTACTTTGATAACACTTCACAAGTCGACAGTCCCCCTATTTTCTTCCTTATTAACTCCAATCAGATAAATATTAAACCTTAAAAAAACAGTGTAACATACAGCTTCTAACTTCTCAGACTCACCTATAACCAGCATTGATGATTATTCACTATGGATAAATGTTAAAGCAGCTTATACTTCACACCTGTGCCTCTAGAGACTTTTCCACGAAAATATCGAGACATTTCATCAGCAAAACTGATGCACATATAAAACCAAAAACCTAAAAATTTCTATATCAGGAAGTTTAGGTTTACAAACGATCAACAAGAGATAAAATTGTTTTGGAAAATTTGTTTATGTAGCACATGTTATGTGTCAACACATTGACCTCCCAAGTTAATAAGATAGTTATATGAAATACATTTGTGAGCAAATGAGGTCCATCATCACTTGAAAAATCAAACAAACATATCGAAATTTCTTTGAAACACAAACACAAAGTAAAAAACCCTATCACAACGATACGATCTTCCAAATTAATTAGCGTAACAATATCATAATTTGAAACACTTAAAAAATGTATTGTTTGTTCTTACTTTATATTTCTTCAACTTTATCAAAGTGAAAATAAAAATCAAAAGAATAAATACAAATCATATTATTTTTTCTTAATTTTTTATTTAAAATTTTGTGTTCTCTTAGAAAACAATAGTGGTTCTTTCAACTCAAACTAACAAAATTAATAAAAAATACAATATGATCTTAGAAAACAGTTATACTAATGATGTTCAGAAGTGTTTTTGCACATGTTAAAAAAAATAAAATAATTTTATTTCGAATACCCGCCCGTAGGGCGGGCCAACCCCTAGTATATACTAAAATCTGCAGAGTTATATAAATAAACATCTAAGTCTAAGAAAAATTTGTTATTTTAATTTCTTTTATTTAAATTAGTACTTTCATATATTTATTTTTTAGATACTAACTTTAAAAAGTAACATATTTAAGTATAGTTCTGATATTTTTGGATATTCGAAATATTTCAACACAAGTTAAATTTGGTTCCATCTATTCTGGTATTAAAGTTTTAGACCATTCAAGTATTTTTTTCATTGTTGTTTGAGTTCGGTATAACTTTTACATGTTTGGTTCTTCAGATACAAATATTTTAATCAATCATAACCAAAACTCAAAAGGATATTTGTAAAATTTTATTTCAAATAGAAACAATCCCGCATTTTGAAAGTGCGGATCAAAACCTAGTTATTATTAAAAGATAAATTTAAAAAGTAGTTTGAAGTAAATTGAAATTCCTCCGTTATCTTTCTATTAGTCTCTGCTTTGACACTTACGAAATCTTGATTGTTTTGGAACACTTACGAAATCTTGATAGAGTTCTGTTTTATCATCTATACCTTTTTCTGCTCATCCATTTTGACATTATGAAAACTTATATCTTTCTAAAGACTGATGTCTAATCTCCCATCAATTTTTTCTGACTTCAAATCTTCCATTCCGTGCGGAGGTTAAGCCACCTCTGGCAAGTTTTTTTTTTTTGCTAAAATTTGGTGACCTCTTTGCAAGCAATTGATTAAACGAAGAAAACTTCATTTTCTATGCAGCTCTCTAACCAGTTCTCTGGTACCATTTGTTGCAGATTCACTCGAGGTCTCGTTATTCCACGAAAGCGATTGTGCAAAAGTGTCAAGAAACTTGAAATTTGTTACGAGTTATCCATAAACTTTGGTACGTCAACAAGGTTGTTATCTTCACTATGAGTTTGTGATTGATTAGCTTAGCCGTTTAAGTAAACATTTTAGATGATGAACAGATCAAGAATTCTGTATAAAGAATAGTAGCTGTACATTCTAGTTTTTTTTTTAAACTCAAGATCTAAACAGCGGAACATTGTGAAACAAAACAAAAAGTTGTGTAAGAATTACAAAGTAGACATGAAGATGATGAGAAGACGGTATGTGTTTGCAAATGGAGAAGAAACGTGAAAGAAACGCAAATAAAAGATTTCAACAAGTCCTTGAACTCGTTTTGGTATTAGAGCCTAAGGTAGCCTCTTCTTTCTTGAACTATGTTTGGTCTCTTCTGGAAAGATCTTCTGTTAAGAGACCAACTTCTATTCATAGCTCTCATTCTCCACCAAGAAGCTATCCGACTATATAACGCTGGGAAACCAAAGCAGGACAACACTACAACCAGCATTATAAGACATATGTACATCACATTTCTAAATCCATCAGCTAGCTCCGGTTTGTTCTGTCCCGTCCAAGGAACTCCTCCAACGTTCATCCCAAAAACTGGCACATAAACAACAAAAAAGATTAGTTAGTGTTTCCATGTGACGAATCAAAACAGAGTATGTTGAGTTTCATATAACCTCCGGTGATGATTGATAGAGGAAGGAATATGATGGAAAGAAAGGAGAGGTAATAGAGCTTTCGATTAATTTGTTCGGCTTGCCAACTATCCAAACCAGCTTGGATTGCAGTCACACGGTTCGCAATGAAGCCTACATTCTCTTTTAAACGTCTTAACCTCCCAATCAACTCCTCCAAAGAGTTGATATCTTCTGCTAGAAACCAAGGCTTCGTTGAACATTTTTCCTTCACTCTTGGAAACACTTGTTCTCCATGTGCAATCACCTGTGAGATTCATGTATAATCTTCTAACTCAAGAGTAGCTTCCATGAAACGAAAAAGTTACTGCAGAGACAATGAGATGATGCAAAAAAAAAAGAGTGTTCCATAAAGCTTTAACCTGCAAAAGGCGCTGCAAGTTGAGATGCAATTTGGGAAACCTTCTATCATCCAACATCTGTTTCTTCATAGCAAATCCACCTATCCGTCCAAATAAGAAAATAATTATTCATATGAAGCCACCAAAAGCTTCTGAAAAAAGCTGCAAACTAACCTCTATCCATCTCGAGTTCCACCGCATCTAATTCGATCTCAAGTTTAGTGACAACATCTTGAAGCTGATCAACATGGGTATCAATAATATGAACAACAAGGTTGGAGACAGAGCTCGGTACAGGGTTATCAGCTTCCTCAGAGTGATTCATGGTCAGCAAGAACTCAAGAACATGCTCCTCAATCACAATCCCGCTTCTTTCCTTGGGCTCGCCATGATAGTACGATGGAGAATCCACACTAGGGACCTCCGAGAGAAGCGACTGACCCATAGGAGAGAATCCTAGCCTAGGAACACGTCCCAAAGACACAGTAATGACAGAGTTGGCAGTGATCCTAGCAGCAATCTTGAAGGTAAAGCTGCTAGAAGCAGGACCAGGTGAGTTAACTCTAAACACAAGCGCTCCATCAACATGTCCGCAAAAGGGTCCGTTACTAACAAGAGAAAGAATGTCTTGCAGCTTCAAGGGAGGACAAAGAGCATCTATAAGATGCTGTGCAGATTGAGAGAGCTTCTGGTTTCCTTTTGGTAACTCAATATGATACCAACAAAACTCTTTACCAGTTCCTTCTTTGAGATCCCATTCTTTGTTGTAGTATTTCCCATCACCGTCGAATATGTATGCTCTTTGCCTCACCATACCTGAAAACTGAGCCCTGAATCTATGAGCGTCTCTAAGAGAAGCGCTTGTTAAAGACTCTACATCTGACTCATCTCCTCCAATTCGATCTTCCTGCTGCATCATTGCCTTGTTTTTTGTTTTTCGCTTGGAAAGTTTTGTAACAGAAAGTCTCCCAGTTTATGCCTGAAACTGAATCATGCAAAGTGAGAATAGAAGAAACCTTTTAAAAATCAAACTCCTGAAACGAATCGGTTAAAAGGAAAAAGAAGAAGAAAAGCAGAATCCTATGATTAATAACATTGTGAATCTGGTAGAGACGGAACAAGATCGGGGATGATTGACTTACATGCAGGGATCGCAGTTAGGCTAGATCACCGGAGACTAATCAGAACAAGCTTTGAATCTGACAGAGAGACCGACTTGTGGAATCGTTCTCGCGATCTCGTGGAAGGATGATGGAACAGTGAAATTAGAGACAAGGTTTGTTGAGAAGGGTCGGAGCTAAAGAGAGCTGGCGTTGACCCGATAGACACGTTGAATCTAGCAGACCAATTTAACGGCACAGATTCAAGATCTTATTATATCGTTTATTTTTATGGGTTCGTTTTTGATGAACCTTTTTCTTTTCCTTCCTAGATCTACAAGAACCAAAAAGTGAAATTTGTAACAAGTACAAAATTACGATATTATGAAGAGAATTTGCATCAAGGGTGAAATGGATAGTAATTAATGTTATCCAAATCCACCTTGTATTTAAAGCTTCCTCTTTAATATCAATCATTATTAATATTTGAAGAGTTATCTGCTATTATGATATTTGCAATAAGTAGTTTGGATATAAGGTATTTATGGAGGAGGTTTTTAACCAATAGTCAATCAATCTATTATAATCTCCTATACATTAATTGAAAAACATTTGAAAATTTGTAATATTATATTTATATTAATTAAAAATAATTCTATCATACATGGCATCTCTCTATGGCTTCTATTTCAATTTAAAAAAACTCTAGAACATTTCATATAAAACATAGTTTTAAAACATGGTCCAAAGGTCTCATATAAGACATATCAAACAAAATAACATATCAAACTAAATCTCCTATATATTATTTCCTTAAATAAAACCTACAGAATTACCTAATGTGATTAAGATATATATGACTATTAATGATTTTAAATAATAAAAGATTTGTTAACAATATGTATACTTTATATCATTTTTGTTTAACTTTTTATCATTAAAATAAATTACACAACTACACTAATCATATAATAAAATATTTTTTATATATGTTGTATTTTAAAATTTTCAAAAGGAGTATAAATTACTAAAACTGTTAAAAAACTCACATAAACTTTATATATTAACATAAACACCTATTAAAATAAAATTATTTATTCATATGATTTTATAATCATTATAACTTATTATAAAAAATAAAAAAATTAGACCTTGATCACAAAAGTTCATATGTATAAATATTTTAAACATAATTATAATTTAAAATTTAACTTAATTTTTTTATAAAAAAAAATATTTAAAAAATATTTTCAAAATATATTTTTCTGATATTATTAGACAAATAAATAATTTATATTAAATTAGTTTGAAACTTTATATATTCTAAAGGGAAATATTTTACCAACTACTTCTTAAGAAAGCATTAGCGAACTTGATAATGTTCTACCAATTAAACCCTGTGACACTCCGTTTATTTTTCATCATTCGAACACTGAAAAATAAAAAGATATATGAACCGGATCCATAAAATTCTATGTTTTGATTTATTGTTATAATTACAATTTTTCTGATCCTACGTATAGATAATTATATAAAAACTCCAAAATTCCAAATGCATATAAAAACAATCATATGTAAATTTTAATTTTGTCAATACTAAAATTATATATTTTAATTATATACATTCACCCTGCGCAAAGCACGGGTCTTATCCTAGTTGAGTACTAAATCATGATCCACCCAAATTATTAAAGAACTATATGAAACAGTGTCGGGACAACAAATTAATTTTTCAGAATCATCATTCTAATTTGGTCACAAACTACCAAAGGCTTCGAGGACAGATCTTTATAATTTTTTAGGTATTACCAATTTGGGAAGGATGGACACCTATCTGGGAATTCCATAAAATCTAGGTGGATCGAAAATTCAGATTTTTAGATTTTTAAATCAACGGGTAAATAATAATGTTAATAGTTGGACAGTACATTTTCGTACAAGAGGAGTAAAGGAAGTACTGATTAAGTATGTGGCTTCCGCCAAATCTACACATGGAAAGGAAGAAGTGAAATCACGAGCAGAGTTCCTCACTTTTGGTGGGGTGGAAGTGGAAACAAAAAAGGTATGTATTAGTTATCTTGGGATAAAGTATGCATTTCCATGGAAGAAGGTGGTCTCAATTTTAGAGATCTTCAAGATTTCAATATAATACTCTTGGCTAAACAGTTATGGCGTATGATTGACAAACCTAACTATGTGTTCTCAAGAATGTTCAAAGGAAGATATTTTTGGAAAACTGATCCATTACATGATCACATATCTTATTCGTCCTTAGATGGAGAAGTATCTGTTCCGCTTGTTCTCTGGTTAGAAAAATGACTAATCAAAAGAATGGAAAATGGAAAATCCATATTTGTATGGAATGATCTCTGGATCCCTACTCCTTGCCTGAGGTCAGCGATACTAAAAAAATGATTCACAGATACTGGATCTATTTTTGATGGTGGAATTTTTTACTAATCCAGTAAAGCGTTCGTAGAATTTTGATTTGCTTAATGCATATATCCGGATGATGTCAATATTATTCGAGGCTTGGTTGTGAGCAGAAATCATAGGACATTTAACTATAGATGGAATTTTACCGATTTAGATAAATATTCGGTTAAATCAGGTTTCCGAGTAAAAACTTTATATCTAGATAAATGGCAACAGACGGTTTTTTAGTCCTACTGTTAAACCATTATTAGCATTCATTTGGAAACTGAAATATTCTCCGAAGTTGAGATATTTTATCTGGCAAATATTATCGGGTACCTTACCAGTATCAAAGAACCTCAAGTTGCGTGGAGTAGATTGTGATTTACAGTGTAGTATATGTGGGGCAGAGGAAGAATCTACTCACCTTGTATTTTTTGAATGTTAGCCAACACGTTAAACATGGGCTCTATCTAAGATTCCTTCCCCTCCTAGTATCTTTATGTCCTTTTTGGTTTTTACTAGTATGGACTATCTCTTTTGGAGACTCCCAAAAGTAGATGATTTTAGTTATTTCCCATGGATTCTATGGTATAATTGGAAGAACGTGATTGAAAATATTTACAAGAGTATGAATGAAAATCCACAGAAAATTCTTCGGAAAGTTGAAGTAGAGAGTAAGATATGGGCATAGGTACAATTACTCAATACTGAACAGCAAGAAATTACACAGATCACTGCTGTAGCTGCTATGGAAAATTATTCAAGGAATAGCTGAATATGCTATATTGATGGAGCGTGGAGAGAAGAGGACATTATACCAGACAAGGATGGTTTTGCCGCATGGCAGAATCGCAGAAGTTATGATGGGGAGGGGGCAATGAACCTGCGCCGAAGCCTTTCACCCTTGCATGCCGAATGTGAGGTTTTGATTTGGGCAATGTAGTGCATGAAGACTCTACAGTTTGCTGATGTAGGTTTTGCGACAGATTATTCTCAATTGGTGAAGACGGTGGCGACATCTGAAGAATTGCCAGCCTTCTCTACACACATGGAGGAATTCAGACATAGTAAAACTTTCTTCCTTAACTTTCGTATTCGACATATTCCGCAGGAATAAAATACTATGTCAGATAAGTTTGCACGAGGAACGAAGAGTCCTCCTTCAACTATGTTATATATCGGTTCAACACCTCCGAATTGGCTTTCCAAGTATAGAGGATTAGTTACTTAGTTACATATTGCTGTCAAAAAAAATCATGATCCACCCAACTAAGGAATTTTATTTAAATTGATCAAAATTTTCATATCTATCTATATATATATAAAACCTTCAAAATATTACATACTAGCACTTTGAACCTTGAAATATTTGCACTAATACTTTTAACTTTCGAAATGAAATTTGTATTAAAAAAAACTTCCAAAGTAAAATAAATGACCAATAGAAAAGGTAAAATGATGACGTGTCAGTTTTTTTTATAAAAAACTTATGTAACTAATAAAATAAAAGAAAAAATTCCATTTTTTTAAAAATCAGAAATTTAAATAAAACTGAATAAACATTCAGATTGTTTTAAAAAATAGTTCAGAAAACTAAATATATATTTAGAAAATTAAAAAAAGTAACTAAAATTTAAAAAATATTTTTTTGACAACAAGAAAGCTAAACTAAGTAACTGGCCCTGCCGATTCAGAAAGCTAAATCGGAGGGGTGGATCCAACGTAGAACCTAGCTGAACGAGAGCTCCTCGCACCACGTGTAAGCTTGTCCGCCAAAAGATTTTGTGCTCTCGGTATATGTCGAATCCGGAAATGGGGGAAGAAAGTCTTACTGCGTCTAAATTCTTCCGTATGTGTAGAATACTGGCCATTCTTCTGGTGAGTACACCATCTTCACCAATCGAGAACGATCTGTCGCAAAGACTACGTCAGAGAACTGGAGAGTCTTCATGCATTCCATTTCCCATATCAAAACTTCACACTCCGCATGTAAAGGTGAGAGACTACGCCGCAAATTCATCGCTCCCATCATTACTCCATTTGACCCTGTTTTCTTTACAATACCATCCTTGGCCGGTTTAAATATCCTCTTCACGCCATGAACCATCAATATAACAGACTCTTGTATTTTCCAAGGCTTGCACATTATAGACAAGTGGGAAGGATCCATGTTGAGTAGGCAGAATATTTTGTGCCTCCGCCCGCAGAACCCCTTCTACTTCTGCAATACGAAGAATTTTCTGAGGATTTCTATTTTTATTCTTATAAATTTTGTCATTTCTATTTTTCCAAATATACCACAATATCCACTTGAAGTAACAAAAATCATCTTCCTTTGGTAGTCTCCAGAATAGGTAGTCCATATTCCTAAAGACTGAGGGTGCCGGAAAGATGGGTGGTGGAGAAAGAATCCTAGATAAAGCCCATGTTTGTAATGCTAGGGGCATTTAAAAAAATACATGATTAGTAGACTCTTCATCTGCCCCACAAAATATTACACCTTGAATCACAATCAATTCCACGCTTTCTAGTGTTTTGCGCCACTAGTAAAGTACCAGAAAAAAAATTGCCATACGAAATGTTTCAGCTTAGGAGAACACTTTAACTTTCGAAAAAGTAATAATAAAAACAAATTAAAATACAGAAAAAAATAAAAAAAAAAATCATAAAATTTCGAAAAAAACAAATTCAAAAGTTCAAAATAGTTGTTTTGCTATTTTCAACGATGAGGTCGGAAACCATCATTGGAGATATGCCAAAAACGTCATTGTTAATGGTTAAGTGAAAAACCATCATCATCATAAGTGATATATTTGAAATTGTTATTGTAAACAAATATATGATATTTTTTACAAGCTTGTAATTTATAATAAATTATTTTATT